CTTAGCTCAGTTCTTTAAGTGGCTGCTTCAACAAAGCAGTCAGGCTCAGGTTGCTGTGGTTCGATTCCTACAACTCAAGCCAGCCAAACCTGCCCTGATGGCATTTGGAGCCAAAAAATAAAATAAAATACTGCAGTGTGCAATGACTGTTGGGCACAGAAGTTCTTTTTTATTTATTTTGTATCTTAAGGAAGGGTGTACAGGGTATTCAGGATCTCACTGCTATGTCAGACTCATAGTGATCTGCCTGTTTACAGCCTCCCAAGAGCTGGGATTACAGGCATACACCACCATACTCAGTCTCAATTGCTGTTTTAGGCACTCCCTGGGGAGCTGGGCCAGCACAGGCCCCTAATCCACTGAGCTATTTGGCTGGCCCTAGAAGTTCTTTGATTGTGAGGAATTTGGAAAATTTTAATGCTTAAAATATTTTCTTATTCTCATACAGTTTTGGGGGCAATAATTATTTTTTAAAAAAGTAGTTGTCTCACTACCTTAAAACTGCAGTGTTCACCGTTTCAGAATAGAAGAACAAATATGGAAATCTTTTATTTTGGTACCTGTAATTTTTTTAATTTGAATGACTTTGTGTTCTTAATTAATTTATCTTTAGATTTAATAACTTGCCTACATTAAGAATATTCTTTCTAATGGAATGCAGGATTTGAGATAGATTGCAGGCAGTATGCTGCTGGGTTTAAGAGTGAATGAAGTCTCCTGGGATTTGGTGCAGATGGTCTAGGCAAAAAATAAGGACGACAAACAATTGGTCATGTAAGACTTTGTAGAATCCTTTTGTTTTATAATCCTGCCTAAGCACTGCACTTGGCATATGATTATTCAAAGTAGAATTAATTTAAATATTGTAACATTTTTCCTTTTAGAAGTGTTTATTATAGAAAAATAAATGAGCCCAATGGAAAAACAACAAAATGTTATAAAAACCAAAAGAATGAAAGATAAAAGTCCATAGAAATAAACAAAGAAAATAATTTAAATTTGTAACTGGATGTATTTAGAAACATTTCCATTCCATCTTTATTCCTATAAAATTTAAATAGAAACGAGATTTTGGTGCATACTACATTCTGTTGAATTCTTTCTCAGTGAGCTATTTTAGCTTTAAAAGTTATGTTCTTTGTTATATAGCATAAGACTCAGAAACAGATAGTCCAATGTTTAAAATTTCCTGAAAAATTGAGGAAAATTGAAAGATTTATTAGTTGTATTTCTGCTGTTAATGGAAAATGCAACTCTAATCTATTGTTATCTAGCAGTTTGTCACCTGAATTCAACTGAAATTTCTGTATATTGTACAGAGATAATACATATTTATAGTGATGAAGATATTTGTGCAAGATCTTGATACACCTTCTGAATTGCAGGGGTTTTTTTTTTAAACAAAACTGTTCAATTAGTATTTCATGTTAAGTGAACTTGTTTTCTGTAATTCTTTGAAAATTATATCGGGCTGGCGAGATAGCTCAGCAGACTAAGCACCTACTTAGACAAGCACAGGGACTGTGGTTTGAGCTCTGGCACCACATGCCTCACTGGCCCTGCCCCTGGGTATACACCTGTAATCCCAGCACTGGGAGGCTGAAAACAGGAGGATCACTACGAATACGACCTGCGTAGTGAAACACTATACCAAATACATTTAAAAAAGAGAAAATTATAGTACATGTTGTAAGAAATAGTTTAGTAAATTGACTTCCTATCATATTGAATATTTGAAGTTTTCTTTATAATTAATGAGTTAGAAATCATCCTTCTGATTGTAAAGTTTGTAAACTCTTTATAGGTGTAGAATGTCAAGTAAGAGTACTTAATACTTTTTTTGTTTTTTGAGATAAAGTCTTTTTTTAAAGATTTATTTGGAGGGTCTTGCTACACAGCTTGGACTCATGGCAATCCTCCTGTTTCAGTCTCCCCAGTGCTGGGGGTACAGGCGTGTGCCACCATGCCCAGTTTCAGTGGCCAACACACCATGGGGCTGGCGCTGCATGTGGTACTGGGGATCGAAGTTGGGCCCTTGTGTTTGCCAGGCAGGCAGTTAGACTGCCGAGCTATCTTCTCGGCCCAGAGACAAAGTCTTGATACATAGTTTAGGATGGCCTTAAACTCACTATGTATAGTCCAGGCTGATACTGAACACACAGCCATCCTCCTTGCCTCGGCCTCCAAGAGCTGGGATTACAGGCTAATACTTTTATACTGTCATGTGAAATTTGAATTTATATAGTGATGAATATGGTTTATTTGTACTCTCAGAAGTAGATTAGGAGTAACTGAATCACTGCTACAGAACTGTTGGTAGTTCTTAACTGATATTTTGATTTAAATGTTTTTGTTTTTAATTTCTTAACATTTTACCTTTAATATCTGCTCTGTTTGCTATTTTAGGCAAGTTGCTTTGGCAGATATCATCCTCATCAATAAAACAGACTTGATTTCAGAAGATGAGTTAAAAAAATTAAGAACAACTATTAGGTACAGTAGAAGTTGTATATTGTGTATCTTAAAAAGCTAGAAGATAGGATTTTGAGTGTTTTCACTATATAGATGAAAAATGTTTGAGGAGATGCATTTAACTTGACTAAGCATTATATGTGTACATATTTTGAAACCACATGGCACTCCATTAATGTGTATAATTTTTATGTTTCTATATATCAGTTAAATGAATTTCAAAATAAAAATTTTAAAGAATACCATTAGGTACAAAATATAAGTGTTAACTCTATTCACAGTAGCCTTGCAGAAACTTAAGTTTCAAGGATGACTTGCTTCAAGAATCATTAAAGAGTCCCCTATTTTGTTGTTGGCCAGTTGACTGTTAAATGGAAATATGTAAAATTATACCCTATTGCTTGCAGAATATAATTTGGAATTCATAGATTTATTTAGGATCCTTCAGTTCCACCATTCTGCTCCCATTTTCTCTTACACTCTTTCCTAACATTGATCTCCTTAGGTTTAACCCTGACAGTTACTTACCTTCCCGAGGATGTGTCTTGCCAAGTCCCTACTTTACTCATAGTATTTTTTTTTTACACTGAATATTTCTGAATTCTTTCACCACTACCACATCCTTTTATTAGCAATTTTTTCCATTCTCTAGAGTAGTGTTGGCAAATGTGGTGCTGTTGGCTGTTTATGTCATTGAAAGCTTTAAAAAGTTCACCATCATTTTTTTTTTTTTTCTGTATTTTGGGTCTTACTACTAGAGCAGATTCGTAGTGATCCACTTGTTTACAGCCTCCCAAGAGCTGGGATTACAGGTGTGCGCCACCATGCCCAGTCTCAATTGCTGTCTCGCCTCTGGTGCTGGGGGCGGGGCCAGCAAGGCAGGCCTGGGGATCAAATCCCCAGCCCCTGTGCCTGCTTGCAGGTGCTTTAATCCGCTGAGCTATTTGGCTGGCCCTTGCCATCGCTTTTTTAAAACCTATTCTCTCTCTCCTTCCTACTTTTTAATGATGTCTTCTGAGACTCAGGTGATCATACTTTGCCCTGAACCTTTGTCTGAAGGCAGCTGTGCCTTGCTGCCAGCTTGCTTTAATGTCTTCAGAGTCCATGAAAATGCTGATCAACATAGACCATATGAGTGATACTCAGCTGTGTGTTAAATGACATTTTACTGACTGTTCTAGAGACTGATTTTTTTAGCCATAGGTTTAGCACAGCTGCTATAGTATATATTATTAATTGAATCAGTAAATGTAAGATTCATTAAAAGATATCTTGCAATGAATAATGACTACTGGAAAAAGAAATTCAATTTTTGTCTCTATTTGGTTTTATTTTAAGAGTAATATCTTTATAAAATTTACTAGGAAGAACATAATCTCTTTGCAAACATTTTTTCCATAGAGTAGTGATTACTACTAGCAGCCTTTATAGCCTCATAGTGACTAAGCTGGCTCTCCTGCACTGGTAATACTATTAGTGTGTGGACAACCTGTACCTCACAACACTGCCTGAAAGGAAGTACTTTGATAAATTACAGGATTTTTGAGCTTTTTATCATCCACTGTACATCAGACTTATAACTGACTTACAATCAGATTTAGAAGTTACATGTGGAAGGAAATAGATATCAAGGTATATAATCAGAAGCGGAGATTACGAATCCTGTAAAACAGGATATAGCTCAGCAGCACAGCATCTGCCTGCATTTGATTCTTGGGACCAAAAAATTTTTTTTTGAAATTTTGTAAAACATTTGAAAAAAGTAGTAGACACATCTCAGAATCACCCTATGTGGGAAGCCTTACTCAGATGAACATGCTAGAACAAGTAGCACCTGTCTTGAGCTGTTAATGTTAAAGATAATAGAGTTGATGATAGAAATTCAAATAGATAAGAGGTTCGTTGTGTTGAAAAGCAATTAACAGGTACTTGTTGGTACCATACTACAGAAACCATGTTCCTTTACAAATGTGTATAAAGCCATTTCCAAAAATACATACGTGAAGAATGATTATCATTAAATATTTGAAGAATCTCCTCATTATAAGACCACTAGAATTACTGGCTGTTTGTGAATCATTTTTCTAAAGTGAAAGATCTTTTTATAAATCACAACATCATCTTTGGTCCTTCAGTTGTGGAGTAGGTTTTTGTGTATCATGAATTCTTAATGTGTGAAAGACACCAAATTTATGTTGGAAGGAAAAGAAACCATAAGAAAATGCAGATTTTGTTTGCTATTTTCAGGTTTTTTTCTAGTTCCAATTGTATTTAATTGCAGTTTTAGAAATAAAATGATTTATGAACTTTTCTAAAAAGTTAACATTTAGGTTTTTACCTTTTCTTCAAATTTCAGATCAATAAATGGACTGGGAAAAATTTTAGAAACACAAAGATCCAGGTATTTTCACAAAGTTGTTACTAACAACAAATAGTTTCAGTTAATTTTATTTTATTTATTTATTTATTTTTTAAAACTTTTTTTTTTAACATTTATTTAGTGTGTGTGTGTGTGTGTGGCCAGCTCAGCCCACCAGGGGGCGGGGCTGGCTGGCATGTGGTGCTGGGGGATCGAACCGCGGTCCCTGTGCTTTGCCAAGCTTGTTCCAAGTAGGTGCTTTAGACCACTGAGCCATCTCTCCAGCCCAGTTTCAGTTAATTTTAAACATTAAGTTTTGATAAATGTGCTTGATAATATTAGAAAAATATTGGTATATTTGAAAAATAGCCCAAAATGTTTGAATATTTATGAATTAGTTTGACATTTTTGGATAATTCCTTTGCCTTTCTTTATAACTAAGACTATAGAGCCATGCCATGATAATACTGTGTAACTATGTTTTTGTTTAATAACATTACATAAGAGTTTCCACCACTCAAGCAAGTAAATTAGTGCAGAAATCTGACAAAGTATGCTGAAGTGTTAATTTGAGCTTTTTAAGTGGTTTATTAATGTTTTGAAACTATCTTAGTGTTCCTTTTTTTCAAATATATTTGGTTATTACAGAATCTTAGTACACAGCTTGGTCTCATAGTGATCGTCCTGTTTTTAGCCTCCTCAGCTCTGGGATTACAGATGTGCACCACTATGCCTGAACTCTGTGGCTGGCTCAGTGCACCCTGGGGGCAGGGCTGAAGCAGCATGTGCTAGGGATTGAATCGCAGTTGGTCCCTGGGCATGCCTAAGCAGGCGCTTTAGTCTGCTGGGCTATCTTCCCAGCCCCTTAGTGTTATCATAGTTGCAAAAAAATTCTCAAGTAAAAATACATGGAATTTTAACCAATACATTTATTTCCAATACATTTCTTTGTTAAATTTTAATTTATATTTTCTTTAGACACTTTTTCTCTGTTTTTCTATTTGTTTAGCTGTGTATTACTTTATAAACTAGATATGCTCTAAAAACCTAATAAAATGTAATATTGTAGATTGAACCATTTTCCATTGAGTGCTGTCATGATTTCAGAAAATTTCTGTGTGAAGTTATTTTATTAGTCTCAGTTTTTGGTGTGAAAGGCTCAGTAGCTGATAGACCATACCAGGAGCAGCGAGCAGCTCTGCGGCTAGCAGCTGGAAGCCTTGTGCCACCCAGGCTCTGGTGAGAGAGTCTTCTCTTGAAAGTGCCCCGGAGCCCCTAGCTGAGTGGCTTGTCTGCTGTGGCGAGATTAGAGGTGCTGATGGACTATTGTAAGTTGTAGGCAGCAACAGCCGCAGCTGCTTAGAAGCACGTGAACAGCTGGGGAATTAATTTGGAATGCATTCTCAGAGGCCATACATCTGCCTACCAAGGTGGCAGAAGAGTACCTTAGTGTAAGTCCTGTACAAGCATTTACCAGATATGCTCTGTGCAATTCAAATTCCACTGTAGATATCTGATTATCTAACTTACATTGTGATCTGTTTTGCATTTTACATATCTTTTTAATTTTTATTTTCTTTATAAAATGATACATGGACTGCATGATGCTTTAGTAAGCTTTTAAACATCATGTCCATAAGTAGCAGTGACTCTGTAAATAGCATTTATTCAGTTCTTATTTATAATCACCTGAGATCCGTTTTCCTTTGTTTTCATTCTGGGAATATCCAAATCCTGAGTACAGGTTTCATCTTGATTGGTTTATTATGTAACAGTTTTACCATTTCTAACATTTGCTCTATTGTGGAATACTAAACATGCTGTTAGGACCTTGGTGAAGGGTCAGGAAAATTTTGACTGGAAAGGTGATCATTGATCTGATTCATAAGTAAGATTTATCCAGAGTAGGTAGAGAAATTATATTTAGTAGAATTTCAGAGTGGGAAAACTTTGTATTCCAGGCACCTGTAAATGTGTTTAAATGATTAGAACACATGGTATTATGTAGTAGAGG